TAACGGCTTAATTCAATTTTTAGTTTATTAACTATCACTTTGATTTTATTTTAGTCTAAAAACTATATTTTATTTCTAAGTGGTCTGTTAACTTTCAGATTCATTTCAATTTCGTCTACTTGGTCAAAGATAACGGAAAACTTCCTATTCTAGAGAACATTTAGTCCTCTAATTATATATTTTTTATCTTTTAGTCTTTAAATTTATATTTATTATAAAAATAACTTTTATACTTAAAATTATTATTTTTAAGCTCTGATACCAAATTTTTATACTTAAAATTATTATTTCTAAGTGATCTATTAACTTTCAGGCTCTGATAGCAAATTAAAGAAATAGAAAAACTTGTATAAAAATCAGGATTCAGAGCCTATAAATAATAATTTTAAGTAAAAAAGCTATTTTTATAATAAATATAAATTTTAAGGATTAAAAGATCAAAAAAAATATAGTCAGAGGACTAACTGTTCTCTAACAGAATATGAAGTTTTCCATTATTTTTGATCAAGTAGACGAAATTGAAATGAATCTGAAAGTTAATAGACCACTTAAAAATAAAATATAGTTTCTAAACTAAAATAAAATTAAGGTGATAGTTAATAGACTAAAAATTAAATAAAGCCCTCTTATAACTAATAACTGTGGTTTTGGTCCATTTTTGTCCGAAGACCACACGCACGCCGTACGTCCATACCACGCGAATTGAGATGATGGAATCAAACTTGGCGGGCGGTCAGTACTTGAGCTAACCTCGTTGAGAGATGTTTTAATAATTAAAATTTTGAATTTTTATTTAAAGATTTTGCGTTTAAATTTTAAAATAAATATAAAATTTTTTTAAAAGTATTATTTTTTATTATATTAATTACCCTTCTTTTATGCGTGACGCAAATCATTGAATTAAACAATTTAAAAATTAATAACTTGACACTAACTTCACATGATCAATTTTTAAATTTGGCAAGAAAAAAAGTCAACCGTAATTAATAAACAAAGACAGCAAAGCAATCAAGAAAAGGTGTTGTTTTAAGATTTAGTGAATTATTTTAGAAACTTCATGAAAAAAAAAAAGTTTAAAAACTGTCCAAAAAATCCAAATAAAAAAAATTTATGTCCAAGAAATTTAGCTAAAATCTAATTACACAAAATCTGAACAAACTAAAGAAACATCATGAACTTTTCCATTTTGGAGCCAACGAACAGGGTTGGTTGCCTTTGATACTATCAAGGTGGGGGACCAATTATACGCAAAATGAAAGGAAAAAATGGATTTGGCTACGTGAGAGAGAAATTTAGAAAGGTCCAAAATGGCAAAAATGTTATTTGACAACGATAAGTATCGAAAAGAAGTAAATTTTTGATACACTTAGCCCTTGAATGGTTACAAACTTTTTCAAAATAGTTTCTTCTGGAAGATCAAGCCAGAAAAAAAGTTAGCTTGACTAAATTTTTTGAGAGAAGTAAAAGTGTTGAATCTTGAACACAATCAATTATTTTTGTTTGATTATTGGTTATAATGCCGATATTTAATCTTTTTCTTAAAGTAAACTTTTAAGATTTTTGCACCAAAAACACATTTTAAATAATGTAATCAATTAGTTTCTATTATATTTACAATTTATCTAATTTGTATTTTAAAAAT